CTTTTCTCTTTTTTTTTTTTTTTTTTTTTGGTTACAGTTCTTTCCATTTCACATGGTGTTTGCAAAAGGCCTGCAGTTGATCAGGCTTTTAAGGCCCCAGTTGAGATTTGCTGAGCAGCTACAGGTCCCACTGACTCCAGAGTGAATTACAGCTTCTCAGCACATCTGGAAATGAGTCCATTTTTTGCTAAAGATGGGCAATCAAAAAGGGAGGCACCCAGCATTTGAGGCTACTTTTGGAAACATATATATATAACTGATTTGCAAAGTGAAAGGGGGAAAATGATGCCGGCACCTGACAGAGTATTTATTTTTGTTCATGGTTGATTTGCCTTTTTTTTTTTTGCTGTAATTGCCCAATTGCACAGTTGGTTGTGGTGTGCACAAATCATCTTATAATTGCACACCATAATTATTCACAGTTCTTGTCCCAAAGTGTTTTCATTTGATTTTAGAGCAAACACTCTACAGAAATGAATCAGGGAGGTTCACATTCCTCTCTGGAGCTGTTCTGTAAGATGTCAGCAGTTTCAGGAAGACAAAAGTGTTTAAATGTGCATTTGGTTTAAGTCTGGAAGATTACTGGAGCAATAGGGAGGACTGCTCCTAATGAAAACTTGTCCTAGGAACCAAATAATGCCATCTCTTCTCTAAGCCACAGGCAGGGTTAGAGGAGAGATCAGTCTCCATGCCCATCCAGTCTTTGGTGTGCCTACTGAGAGTGCCAACAAGGGTTCAAGTATTCAATTTTTGCCAGCTCTTGAGGATGGTGTGCTTGAATTTGGGGAACTGAAATCATCAGCTGATTTCACATAAGCCACCAAAAAGCAATCAGATAGTAACGACTATCAGTCTCTTACAGGTGACATCCATTTCTACTCTTAAATTAGATTTTTTAAAAGTGTGCAAAATGTCTGGCTGAAAGCAGTGACTACAATTTATCAGCTCGCTCAAGTCCGAACAGAACAGATGGAACACAGATAAGTGAAGCAGACAGCTTAATTTACTCATGACCTCAACAACTTGAAGCTGGAATCATTAACAAATAACTTTCGCGGATTTTCAAGCGGCTCTTTAAAAATGTACATACCTGCATCGTACAGAGTCAGACCGCAATCTGTTCAGTGGACAGATTGTGTAAGTTTGTGATGTGCATTCATCAAAGAGATGTTTATATTCTGGAAGCTTCAAGCTCTTCATCCAACAATTTTTAGCCCAAGGCACTTCGTAAAACAAAACAGTGGAACCTACATAGCATTTGTGTGCTGGGGATGCTTGGCTGGAACATCCCAGTGCATAGAAATGCTCGAGCTTTGGCAGATTATCAGATGGATATTTCTTTTACCCTCTTCATTTTAACTCAGCTGAGATTCAGGGAGTCCTTCCAATATCGTTAGAGCTGTGCTCCCTGCTAGTGCTAATGCCTGCATTCATTTGCAGTGCGCAAACACAACTAAATCAATATTACCTGTGGGGTGAGTCCGATGACTTGACCCCTTCTGTGCCGGGAATCCCAAATGTTAACCTAATGCAGATTGATTTCACTATTCATTTCAAGTGGTGTCATCCAGGATAAGACAAATTTATTTTCTTTTTCAGTCTTGGGATTTTCACTCCGCTATAGTTTCATGGGGTAGTTTAAGATGTAAACAAACAACAGAACAAAGATACAACCAACAAAAAGTCCTCACCTCAGCATTCAGATCTGCTCCAGCATCTAGCAGCATCTGCACCATAGCCTCATCACCCCTGACACAAGCATACATCAGTGGAGTCATGCCCTAGTCATTTTTTGGAGTTAAAAAACAAAGGAATTGACAAATTTAACACAGAACTCTCTTTGATTTTTTTAAACAATTATTTAAGTATATATCATCAAGACTAACAGCATGTATTTAAAGAAAGCCATTACCTCTGTTACAGACATGCCCCTCAGACTAGCAAAAGCCAACCACTTTTGTAAAATCTCTACTTTTGTTGTCACTTGGATTGAATGTTTGGTGTGGTTTTTTTTTTCATGTTATCCTTGGCATCCTCAGCATGGTGAGTGAAACTAGGCTTGTCAGCCTCAGCTCCATCTTCGTGTACTAAACTGAGCATCTTTGTCTTTTGATAAAAACATTTCTCTGCTGGCCTCCAAGCAACCATATTTTCACTGGTATTTTACAAAGACTAATTCTATTCCATCTTCTATGATCACAGTTTCATAAAATCGAACTTTTTAACTACCAAAAGAGTCTTCAAAAACATCCCAAGTTCCTCCTAAGTTAGATTCAAGCACAGCTTTTTCAACATGGATACCATAAGGGGCTGGTAATGTAAAGGCTTTCTATAGCACTCTCTAGCAAACAAGGACTTAATTTTAAATGAAATGACAGACAGCATTGTTGCAAGTTGCTGGCTCTAGGAAAACATGGCCCTGTTTGGAGGAAAAGTAGATTAAGTGACCCTTCACTACAGAACCACCACAATGCAACTTGTATTAATCTGAAATGCCTGCTGTGGCTGATCATCATTTCCCTTAAGATAAGTACTACTGTGGCTGTGGTAATGAGTCCAGATGAAACCATGAAAAAATCATTAAACCTATCATAAATTATAATAGAAAAAGCTGTTTATTAAATACAGTAGGGGGTGTTGATCAACAGCCACCAGTTGTTTTGCAGTAAATCTACCGCAGCACGCAGCTACCTCTGATGCATGTTTATACTCTACCTTGAGGTCCCCTGGCAAATTTGCTGTCAGATGATAGTCCATTTGCTGTTTAACCTGAGTGCTGCCATGAAGTGAAATTATTTTCAGAGAAACTGGAGGACCCCAGCATGGCCAGACACAGAGCCATGACACCACTCTTCCTAGCATGAGCCCAGTATCGCTATTTTTTGCTGAACTACCCCATTCTTCCTGTTGCCATGCAGGTCTAAAGGTAGTGGGTGCTCAGGTATGGAAGGGCTGCCCTTGTAAAGAAAATCGAAGTTAAGATTTGTCCCTGCAAGGTACTTAGAGCCTGCTTAAAACACAATGAGCTTTTTGCAGGATCACATCCACAGTGTACTTATGGACATATCAAGTAAGGGAATAGGCATTTGTGGACTCATGTTATTATTAAGAAAAAACAAGTTTACCCCGGGCAAGGAGAGTTCTTGGGTGACTTGAAGTTACTTGCAAAGAGAATTTGAAACTACTTCAGCTACAGTCAGTGGCAAAACATTTCCTTTGGCAGTCAATAAACACTACAGGAACAAACAGGACCATGAGACTTACAAAAAATTGTGTTTGGGCCTTGAAACACGGGGATGAGACAGAAGCTTAAAATCAAATACATGTTCCTTCAACTATTATTTCAATTTCTGTAAGTGGCATCATTCAGTAATTAAATAAAGTATACAAGGGGTCTAATCAGATATGAAGAAAACAATTTGAAAGCCCCGTGCTGGGGCTCCCCCCTGCAAGATGCAAGAACATGGGTAGCTGTGACAAAGAACCCCACAGCAATGCCCAGGGCAAAGGGTTTACCTGGGGACTACACAGGATATTTTGGCCCTGCTGAAGCTGATGAGGGACTTACCACTGATTAAAAGGGGCCCAGAATGTCATGCTGCAGTATCAGGGTTTTAAAGGGTTAACGAGGTTTCTAACCTCCCCCTCCCTTGCACTGCTGTCCCTGCTGCTTTTGCCTCTGCTGGTCCCCCAGGCTCGCCCTGCAGCTCAGCCTTGCGCTGCAGCATCACTGAGCCCCCTCTCTTTGCACATGGGAGGAATGGATTTTTAATGAACCCATCGTTAGTGTCCCGCACACACACAGGAACACGGTAACAATATGTACAATCAACACTAAAGGCATTTGGCTTTTGGCAAAATAAAAAATGGCTCTTTTTCTTTCAGCCTTGCATCACTTAGGGCTCTGTCCTGCAAGACATGGGACCCTACAAGATGCGGGATGTTTGATCCAGCAAAGCATTTAAGCACAGGCTTAACTCTCACTCAAATAGGATGTAAGCATGTGTTCAGAGTTAAGCATATGATTAGGTACTTTGATGAATCAAGGCAGAGTGTTCCCAGGTTTCAGCCTGGAGGACAGAGAAAATATGCCGTGAAAAGTTTCCAGGTTCAGACTAACTTAAAATAATCATAATGTATGAATCCTGGAATGAGCAGCCTGACACTACTTTTTGTGGGGGAAATACTGCCCTCTTCTAAAGCTTTTATCAAAAAAATCCACAATATTGACTCAGACTGAAGCTACTGAACAGCAACATAACTCACATTCCTGGAGCAGCTCTCACCTCAGAAGACCTAAACCCACTAACAGTCCTGCTCCTGTCCTAAGCAACCACCTCAGGGGTGGCAGCCACCTGCCTCCTGCCAAAGAGGATGCCACAGATTTGGGTGCCACACTTCCATTAAGGGCACCAGAAAATTCAGGGTGCCATTCTATTTCAAAAGGAAACAGTAGTATCCTTGGCCATTCATTTACCTTTGGGAAGGGGGAACCACCTTGCTGAGTATCATAGTCCAATACGCTGCTGCTGGTAGGTACCTGCAAGGACAGGTTTTTCCCCAGATACAATCACCAGCCCCATGGAGGTGTAACTCCAGGGAAATTTAGGCTCCTCAATTGGTGGATGTTGGCCACCAAACACCACCAAGTGGAGTAACACTGCGGAGATACTTTCACATCTGGAGGGTCAGTTCAAACTGGGCTGAACTCAATTAAAGAGTGTGAGCAATTAATTGTTTCCTGCCAGGGGTTTGGTGGTGCTTGTGAAATGCATTGCAGACCCCAGCGCAGTGCTCAGTAGAAGGACATTCACCTCAAAAAGCCCTGCTCCACACCACTGTTCATGGCATTGAAGCAGTTTTAAGTATTCAGACTAACACTAAGCTCTCTTGGGATCTCCTTCTGGCTTCATTTGGCTCAGTTCACTGTTAAGAAGATTTCAGGGGATGCATTCACCCTCATGCTGAGTTACCTCAGTACCAACAAATCAATACAACTTGAAAAGACCAAACAATGTAAATGTTCACCTGGCAATACTTTAACTCAATACAAAGTAATGCAGGGAAAGCACTAAGGTCCCATCTACGTTTAGCTGAAAGCTGGGATTCCTTTTCTGTGATAAGCAGACAAAACTCACATTTCACAGTTTCTTCTTGTTACCTGTTCACTCATGCTGTTAATCCCATCCGGCCCCAGCAAAGATATAGCTTGTTTAACCAGGTCCGTTCGGCCACAGTTGAGCATCCGGAAACCCAGGTCCTGCTTGAACTTGGCTTCAGTGGCAACTGCATCCAGTTTCCGAGATGCACAAAAGCAGTCGTCGATTCTGTGGACATGAGAAATAAACTCGCTCAGAGGACAATCAGAGGACGGACCTCGCTGTCCCTAGGAAAATAATACTTTGCCCTATCTTTGAAGGATGTAGGTCATGCATATATTCATTCTCCTTTGACCCGTGTGTTCGAGCGTAGTGCTGAATGGGAAATGCTAATGCAAGCTAATGCAGACTGCCCTTGGTCTATCTTTCATGGGACTTTTTTATAAAAAAATGGGAAAAAAAGCAGAGTTTTCACTTGATTTTGTTTCCCTGTTTAAGCAATGCACAACACATTTTCACCACAAGTTTTCTCTCTGCATGGCAAGGTTATCCAGTCTCCCTGATCCCTCAAAGGTTTCAGTGCCTTCAGTAAGCTTTGAACTTACATCAAATAGATGTATAATCATTGACAATACAACAAAGAGAAAATAATGTCATTTCAAACGCCTTCAAGAATCTTACCAGCACAGCCTCAGTAACAGGGAAGCCCTTTTGGAGCAGAAAGTGCAGGTTGCAGAATGCCATTCTGGCTGAGGTTGGAAAGGACCTCTGGAGGTCATCTGGTCCAACCCCCCTGCTCAAGCAGGGCCACCCGTAGACCAGGGCACCATGCAATCAGGGAGAAAGCAATCTTGCCAGGTAATTGTGGCAAAACACCACAAATCCTTGCTGGCTGAGCCTAACAGATGAGAAGTCATTCTTTTAAGGTCTTATTCAAAAGCTCTCCAAACTGTAAACTGCTCAAGAGATCTATTTCAAATGGAAGAAGGGTTAGGAGTTATTTAGCAAGATGTGAATCTTCAGCTCCAGAGAGAGCCAGGCAATTCAAATCTGATGTTTATCCAACTCGGTTTCATCTTATTAAAAGACAGATTTGCTTTTCTTTCATGCTGAGGAGTGTCTGGGGCAGAGGGTGGAGTCCACATCTGCAGTGCTTTCAGTGTGAATTTGGATAAAGGACTGTTTGGAAAAACATCACTTTCATTCTCCAAAAACACTAGGTCAGAAAACGAGGGGCTACTTATGATTGAAAAACAAAATAAAGATCAAAAGTGAAAAAAGTCAAGCGTACATCAAATATTTGTTTTCTATTTCAAATGTAAAAAAAAGCAGCAAACCAAAAGAAAAATAGAAACAGCAAGCATTATCATTTAAATTTCTTCTTCAAAGTGCTTTATCAGAGCTTTATAAAATATATAACACTGCTTAATATTTAACAGCAATATGCAACAAATATGCTGTTTATATAGAAGCAGTGGTATGTAGTAATAATAGTTACTGCTCTTCCTCTTTCAACAGAGGAAGGAAAGTGAGATGGAAAATTCAAAGTATTTTGATCAAAGCTTCTGCAGGACTTAGTACTGAAACTGCCATATGAGATCAAGCTTGTTCTCTGTCGTGCTTGACCATGACCAGTCTGGAAGACAACAGATATTTTGTTGATTTTCATCCTGCATGCTCAGTTTGGGTTTTAACTGCTAAAAAGTCAATGTTCTAAGAATGCAAACAAGGTATGCTTGGGAGTATCATTACTCAGGGGAACAAGGACGATGCTTCATCACGACAGTATGCTGCAAGATTAATGCACAACACTCGGTCACAATAAATACACCGTAACGGCAATAACAGATTCTGCACCAGTAATATGCCTGCAACAGAGATGAGGAAAGCAACGCACAGCAAGGCTGGGTTTTCTGCAAGTAGTTTCTGAACGAGTTTAAGGAAAAAGCCAAAGCAGCACTGATATGCAGGGCTGAGCTCAATGACACCGATATCCTCGGGAGCAATTGCAGCTTAACACGTTCACACCGTATGGCACATCTCTGACACAAGCGTTACAGCAACATTTGGTACTTGTTACCCCCATAGCATGAGATGCCAGAGATCATCTGTGCCCTCCTTTAACGTATGGGAAAGATAAAGCACGCTCAGAAGTTACGTGGTGGGGGTTTTCGTAAAAGGAAAGAGGTCTGGACCTCCCAGCTGCAGCTGGCCATTTCCAGATGACTCTGGGCTGAAAATGAGGTGGTTTCTCAGCAAAGTGCAGCTATGGAAAGAACTAGACAGCCTCTGAGGACTGCAGAGGTGTCTGCCACTATGAATCACTGCCTGTGTTAAGTCATTGCTTCATCATTTGTACTGAGGTATAGAACATACACTCTGCATAAAATGGGTCAAACTCAGTGCTGGCAGAAACAAGCGGAGCTTCACTGACGTCAACCCAGCTTGGTGCATGCAAAACCATAGTTGACGATCTCCTCTTTAAAAAAAGCCAGACTTTGAACTGGGTTGCACACCCACACAAGGGAGGAAGGAGGAACAAGGATCTATCTCACCTATCCTGTATAGGATGTCCAGACCTCTACTCTGGCATAGGATCAGAAATTGCTTACTTCTCCATAAGTAACTCCTCCATGAGTTGGCTCTGGTCCCCTAAAAGCACGTCAGTTCATCTGCTTGCTATAGACAAGGAAGGGGACTCATTAATTACTCCTGACATTGGGTATCAGCAAATCAGTACTCCTCAATCAGCTGGGGGGATAAGAGTCTTGGTCCAAGAGCTCCAGGATGCTACAGCTGTACAAACACTGCTGCAGTAACAGGGATGCAGAGGAGTGCCTGGGCTGCTAGGACACCAGCACTGATACAGTGTGATCTAGACCAAGTACATCTACCAGTGTACATCTACCACTGCCTTTTTGTACCCCAAAAAGGACCCACTGTGAGAGAGTACAGCCCTTACTTACAAGACATTGCAAAGGAAACTACATGGCAAAATTTGACATAGATCATTACTGGTGCCACCATTGTTGTATGTTGACTAATAGAACGATAAGTGATCAAACTGGGGAATTTAATAAAACAAGAGCATGATGCAAGGGAAAGGAACAGAAGATGCTTCAGAAAAGACAGCGTAGCAACGTCTCGAAAAGTCAGAGAGATGAATGAGTTAAGGAAAAGGAGATTTAACATGTACAGATAAAAAGCAATGAAGAGACAGATCAAAAATGATCAGGAACTACAAGCACAGAATAGGAGAACACAGCATCACTTTTTACACTGGAGAAAGCCAACTGGGAAGATGGTACAGCAGACAGACCGAGCAATTGCATTTCAAAATGAAAACTGAAAAAAAAAAAAAAAATCCCAAATCCATCAAAAATCAACCCTAGACTAGCACAGCATTGTATCTGCTTCCAAGTCTTCCTTCATACCATTAGCTGCATAACAATGCCAACAAGAGCATGGGATCTTTGGTCCATGTTCCACTGTATAAGGGGATGCTGCTCCACCACAGACACCATCACCCAGAATCGCTAACATTAAAGGAGGCAAGATAAAAAAGGAGGAAGGGAGCGGCACCCGGGCTTGACTCACTCAAGATTTCTTAACTTTGGACTGCAACATATACACTGACAAGCTATGAAGAGGTGGGAAAGGGATGGGAAGAAGCCTGAAAAACAAGGTTAGGTTGACAAGGAACAGTTAAGTCAGCTAAATATACAGGGTCACTTTTCAGAGTTGTGAAACTGTGCCTGCAAAGCAAAGGAAGCCAGCACAAGCACAACCAGAGCTGGAAACCTCCCCAGCTGCACAGTCAGTTCACAGCCCTTTTGCCAAAAAGTCTTTGTGATCCTTCCAGGCGCACAGGAGGCTGACACCGGCCCGACAGTGGGATGTCCCCTCCAAGGCCACCTTGGTTTATTGCCAGACTCTGCTGGCTGCCAGCACTCACAGGCGTTGTCCTTTCCCCAAGACCTCACCTTGCAGAAAAGGAGCTTTTTCATTGAAGGAGCAGAGAAGGCTGACAGAGGAGCAGAAGACCACGGCGGGCCAACGCTCTTCTTCCCCTCCTAACCCTGGAAACAGTCTCAGGATGGCAGGACATCACCACCCCGGATGCTGGCTGGGTCAGGTGAACTTTGAGGTCCCCCAGAGGTGATACAGGGAGAAAGTTCGGAGTGGCCAGCATCCTTTGAGGGTGGGTGATATCCTCTCCCAAAAGACTGAGCCCATTCTGGATTCCTCTGTTTAGTAAGCTGTGGGGCTGGGCAGGCTCCTTGGATCCACCACTGCTGTACACATGCTCCCACTCCCAGAACTGAGAATTAATATGCCTGAATTAATAACACACACTGATCATAGTCCTTGTGTTCAAGAGCAAATCCACCCCTCTAATTCAGGTGTTCAATCACACAGCCTGTAAGCTCCCTAACTCCCTACCCTGAATCAAGCAAACAATTGCTTTCATAAGTAAAAGGAAAATTAGAAACAGGTGAAAATTTCTTGATTTTATATTTGTAGCAAAGCTGTGACTACATTTTTTAACTTACAATGCAATACAATTTTCTCCAAGCCTTCATTTAATTCCTCACAGATATTGCTTCTACAGCAGTTATCTTCAAGATCATTACAGTGTAGCCACTGCACATAATTAACTTTACTGTGGCTTTATATGGGGAATGCCATGGTAACATTAATTATTTGCAAATGGTCACTGTCAAATGCTGCATGGTGACCATGACACTCTATCGTACTCCGAAATACTCAAACCTCTGAAAGGAGTCAAAGATAATTTTCTTCATTTATAATGGGTGCTAGCAATACAGCAAATTATTTTTATCTTTTCCCAAATTCACATTACAAAAACATAATGCAGCACTCTTACAGCAATGGTCTACATGCAAGGACTTTTTTTCATTTTCACTCAGATCAGCTAAGATAGGGTTTGTGTCGACCTTTTATAAGTTACTCATGGATTGAATACATTTGGGAAAATGGATGATTCAAAGGCAAAGTGTCTCCATCGTAACTGGTAGACACAGCAGCTCTCATTACATAGCTTTTTAATTATTTGTTCTTTGGGAGGGGATTATCGCTATAGTCTACTGACAATAAAATGTGGACAATAAAAAAAAAAAAGAAAGCAATGCTCTGTAAATGTTACCAAAAAAGAAGCAGGAACATCTTAATTGTGTTCTAAGTGATATGTGCTGGCATAGCATGCT